ACCCAGCTGGTTGGCACACAGACTAGTCACCCAGAGATGGGGCTGAGGAAGGGGGGGGGGGGGGGCAGCAAGGGGGGGGGGGGGGGCAGCAAGGGGGGTAGGGTGAGGTTGCTGGGGTCTCTTTTTGTCCAGAATGCGATCCTTGTTTCACATGCATGGGTGGTGACAGAACGCCTCTTTATCCCGAGTCGCCATCAGCGTAGCTGACTTGCTGCTGCTTCTCCCGGGGCCACAGGCTCACTCACATTTCACTGGCTGCTGGAAGGAGAGCCCAGGATGCTAACTCTGACTGTTAGCTAGCGCTTTGAAGCATCTGCGCATTTGATTTCCCTTTCACTGACATTAGTGGCGTCGATTAAAGTTTAATGTGGAGGGTTCATTACTGCAAATCTCAGGCATGCGGCGTGAATGCTGCTCATTTCCTCACAACGCACTCCGCAGCGTTACTTAGTTGAAAAATATATTTATTTATTTCTTCTCCCTGCATATTCAATAGAGTGACTGTCATTGCTGGCACCTTTTCAGTTCTTGTTCAGATATAATGAATTCATTTAGAAGGCAATTTTCTATCTATCTAAAAATGCGCTCCTGGGCTAGTTTTATTTCTTTCATTATTTTTATAATATTCTATGATCGATTGCCCGGGACAGATCACGGCACAGCGCTGCCGAGTCTCAAATACTTACATCTGCTCAGATCCTAGCAGGAACGTCACGGAAGCTACCAGGCTTTGGTTCAAAAATAGCTGTCTGTGTCTTTAAAAGCTTGGAGGGTGAAAAAAAATGAGAGGAGTAGTAGGTGTTTCCCTGAAGCTCACCTCTGGCCAGTCAATAGAGTGGTCTGAGGGGTTTGTATGCAGAGGGGGATTAGACCGGTTGAGCTGTTCTGCCTGTGTGAAGTGGGGGGGGGCAGAAGACAGATATTATGAGCTGGCTTACCTCAGCTATAATGGGGAGCAAAACGGCAGCTCGTAGGGACTTGATTTCATGCCCTGATGCCGCAGCAATAATTGCACACAGGCTCTGTGTTACCAAGGAATGAATGAAGGTACATACTGAAAATAGTTTGTTATTGCAGATGACCTTTATTAACCCTTCTTCTGAGCAGAGTCCCCAAGCTGGTGAACAGATTACATGGCAGCATTTCTGGACCCTGTCAGGAAAGGAGCTGACAATGTTTCAACTGATCTGGGACCTGTTTTAACTTGCGAGACAGCCAGAGCTCAGATTCAGTTGGTACCCTTTTCCAGCCCCCCCCGGCCCCCTGAACTGGCACGCATGTCACACAAGCATATAGTGAGATGTCTTTTCCGTCTGGTGAGCCGGTCTTAGTGCTGAAGGTTCTTGTAACAGCGCATTAGAACAGCAGAACCAGCTTTAAGCTGAAGGTTAAGCGTGCCAGCCGGGTAACACAGAGACAGTTTTAGGGCTAATATATGGGGCGCCGTCTGTGTGGTATGGCAGAGGATGTTAAAATGAAATATCTGAAATGGACGAGGTCCTCTGGGTTCCTTCCAGTTTTCGCTCTGCTGGAAACAGGTGCTGTAAATCACTGGCTGGGCTGCCTTTTTATTATCTTCATAAATGATCTTCGAAAAATATTAAACAGAGATCTGGATTCTAAACCGGCCTATATCTGTCAGTCGGCATTACAGACGTACTTCTAAACTCCCTACACCATCCGGACCCCCCCCACCCCACGTCATCACTCAGTCCGTTTGTCACCCAGGTTTGGCCCCCATAATGTCATCGGAAGCTGTGTAGATTTATCCCCGGTTTCAGGACTGAGAATCAGAACACTGCGGCCCCATTGGCTGGATTTGCTGTCTAGGTGGGTGATACAACAATATGTTTGTATCCCATTTACTTCACAAAATGTTGTTTGGCCTGGTGGCCTCCAGGGACCTGGGCCGTTCCACTGATGTCTCCTGATGCTCCTGTCTTCAGGCACAGTGGATGAGCACCCATGGATTTGGTGTGATGATATAAGATCATCGGGAAGTTTGGGATGGAGCGGGCTGGGATGCACGCATTTGGCTCGTGTCTGATATCTTCTCTCTTTTCATTGGCAGGTCCAGGGTCACATGCCTCCACTCATGATCCCCTTTTTCCCGCACGATCAGCGCACCCTGGCTGCGGCGGCGGCAGCCCAGCAAGGATTCCTTTTCCCTCCTGGACTCACCTATAAGCCAGGTAGCCTCTTACTTTCCTCTCTTCTTCAGCTCTGTCACCTTATTATTACATCATGCGTCAGGGTTTGGTTTCATGCTGAATAGCTGCCATACTGTCTTTTTCCACCCTGTCCTCTCATGCTGCTGGATGTATATTAAGCACTTCTGCCTAAATTATAGTGCCTAAGCTTGCAGCGTTTTGGTTCTCTCCCTGCCTCAGCATCCCTTCCTTTAGCAGATCTCCAAGTTCTGGTGTGAGGGGAGCTTTCAGAATCCCTGTCTGGGTTTGAGCCGGAGGGCAGCTCCAGCCAGCCTGACTGAGCCACACTAAACTTCAGGCCGGTCCCAGCTAATCTCAGTAGACCTGATGTATTAATATGGCTACTGGTGACAGCATGCAGGTATAACAGGGTTAAATGTGTTTCTCAGAATTTCCCTAAATTTCCCATTTCTGTGGATCTGAGGTATAGTGGTAGGGGGCATGACATGGGGGTGACATGGATCAGTTCCCGCACTGGGGACCTTTAACGTTTCGTGTTGCGCTCTCCTCCGCCTCATGTTCTGCTGTCTCCCGTCAGAGGAGCTGGATGCGTCTGGCTCACTGACTGTCGCAGTTGCTTTTCTTCCCTTTGAATTCAGCAATAAAAGCAGAGAAATCCAGGGCTGGTTGTGGCATCATGTCACCGTGTACAGAACACAGAGCAAGAGCACAAGCGAGAGCAAACACATCTGTCACAAGGCACACAGGTCTACAGGCTTCCCTGTTTTCTGGTGGCTTGGTTACTCCCAGCATGGGGTCCACTTGGTCTGTGTGCTCCTGCTTTTTAATTTTTTACTTTTTTTGTGCTGTTGCATATATTACATATGTTATATACAAAGAAAAAGTCACCACTTGAATTTAAATCAGCTGGTACTTAAAAGCCAATAGTAGCGTCTTTATTAAAACTTAGCAATGTTATGCAGCAATAAGGTGAAGTCAGCTGAGTACCTGAATCTACTGAATGGCCATATTATCCCATCAATGGATTGTTTCTTACCTAAAGGCATGGACATATTCCGGGATGATAATGCCAAGATTCATAGGGATCGGACTGTTAGAGTGGTTAAGGGAGCACAAGGAATCATTTTCACACGTGAATTTGGCAGCACAGAGTTTTGACCTCAACCCCATTGAAAGTCTGTGAGATGTGCTGAAGAAGCCTTTACGGAGTGGTTCCACTCACCTGTCATCAATACAAGATCTTGACGAGAAATTAATGCAAATATGTTGAGATGCTGCATAAGCACATAGAAACAATGCATTGACGAGACAATCAAAGTTAAAGGCGGCCCATCAAAATATTAAACTGTGCGACATTTTTTTTTGGCCAGGCAGTGTATATTACATATTAAACCAGCTGCTTTGACAAGTCACCTGAACACAATAGTTCCCGCCCCTACAGATCTCTGCGAGAAAGGAATCATGCTCTATGATTTCCGAGTCAGACAGATATTTTTAGTCCAAAGGGATACAGTATTTGAGTATGGAAATATATTGTAATGTTTTCAGAAACGGTCCAAATTGCTTCTGTTTGGTGCCACGATCCCCGGCTACGGATGCACAGGCATGGGTGCTGAATGCACCGTGTGGCAGGCTGGTTGCGTGGGCCACCTGCCCCCTCGCTTCCCACCAGCCTCACTGCGCCTGTCACAGCACGCCGTTGGCCTCTATGCCGGTACGAGCAGAAAGGCTCCTCACGCAAGCATTACAAATCCCAAAACAAATCTGGGGGAAAAAATTTTTAATAATTGCTATAACCTGCCTATTGACTCCCTGCCAGGCCCACAGCACAAAGTGTTGATCCAGATTCCTTATTCTTGAGAGGAATTAGAGAGGTGTCCTTCTTAGCTTTCTATAATTAAAAAATCATAGCAGATTCCTGCCCCGGAGCGCTCATCAGAAAAAGAGGAACAAAGTGTGCTCCCCTCCCATTCTGGGGTTTGTTCACCAAAACAATGCCCACACAGGTGATACCTTGTTAAAGATCAGGGATGTGATTATGTCTAAATTAGAGGAAATACCAGGTATGTACCAAGCCTTTAGTCTTAGTGCTTTGAGAAGCTCACAGAAAGCTAGAAGGAAGGCATAGGAAAATAAAAAAGGGGGCGGGGCCACATAGAGTGGTACTGAGTGGCGGCTAAGCTAACAAATGAATGCGGGAGAGGATGCATGCAGGGAGGATGCAACTGTTTGGTGAGCGCGTTGGTGTGAGGGCCCGAAACACAGCGCCTGATGCGATCCTTCTGCAAGTCATATGCCTATAAACGTTTGACAAGGCAAATGTTTTAATACAAATAAGAGGGCTTTTATGAAAGCTCCGCCGAAGGCCGCCCCGTGTGGAGAGCATGCATTATTCATGAGCTCACGGGGGAACGGGAAGCGAGGGGGAGCGATGCCTTAAACAATTCATGGCCTTCACTGCCGCACTTTCACACTCTTTATTTTGTGCGCCGGCTGCCCCCCCTCACTGCAGATATGTGCAGAAGAGCGGCCAGGCATCTGCTCCTGCGCCGTCAGGTCACGCGCCCCCCCTGGTGCTGAGACGGGGCCGTTCGCCCCTGCCCATGCTGTGCCCAATGGCCTGCCTGCTGCAGTACAAACAAACACATGCCCAGAGATGGCGGCTCAATGGGGCTGCCATGGTCCCAACGGCTATAAAACGACCTTTTGCCCACCCCCCCATCGCCATGCCCCCCCAATGACCAGACTATCATAGACCCCCTACTAGGCTAACATCTACACTGCAGCGTTTTCATACTTAGCCATGATTATAGCATCTCTGTTGGGCAACTTTACAACGTCAACTGGGTTTGGAGTTGGATCATCTGATAAGAACAACAAAATCAGTAAATGATAAATAAGTTGAAAAACTGATTAAATAATTATAACTGATTTAGCACAAAACACTTCTTTGTCTGCAGTGATTTTTTGAGGTTGAGTTGTAGCAGTTTCCCACCTCGAGTTAGGGATGCTGTGGTGTCCTGGAAAGATGAAGAGGCTTGTCAGTGACAGAGCTCCTCACCCTGCTCACAGAGACACCTGTCCTGGAAGGGGAAATTTGTTTTCAGCCCTTAACAGGAGGGTAGCCCTTGTGATTTTATTTTCTGTGCCTCTTTTCTGCGCTTTTATGAAGGTGCAGGAGAAACTGTATTTGATGATTTTTAAAGCCACACTCTTTCTTGTTGAGCTTAGTCTGTAACTAAGAAAAGTATTCATGTTTTGACATGGAAAACTCGAAATTATAAGGCAGGGGGTTGCAAAGCGGATGTCATGCCTTTATTCTCCAGGTTCATTCAGCTCAGGTACACCACAAGATCTCTGTAAACACTGGCCGGCCTCCCGGATCACCAGATCTTGGGATTCAGTCATTCCGAGTTGGACAAAAGTATGAGTTTCCAGTGAGGGAACCCCTCCCACGGCCTCGGGGGCCACGCCCCCACCTCATGGAACAGTGACATTACACATGTCTTGACACTGCAGTGCAGCCTTCCAGTTCGTTGAGGTTGCCTTTATTAAACAGTGCTTCCCGGCTGGAAGCAGCCTTTCACGCACTCACCCCTAGATATCCACCTGTATTCTTAGTGGCAGACACTCCTATATAAACGCCACGTAACACAGAGAGAACATGTCACACAGTATCACGGGTTATACATCATTCATCATGTAAAGTGTGGACTCTAGCTTGGGGCTTGACACCCCCTTCATAACAAGCTCTCATACTATAGTCCATCAACACTGGGAAATGGGTCAGGAGGTCTTTAACATTGGTCAACACCTCCTCCGTGGTCTGTGCATATAATGATAATAATAATAATAATACATTTTATTTAAATAGTGCTTTTCAGAATCTCAAACATGCTTGCATAGAAGAATGTAAACAGATAACAAAACAACAAAGCATGTTATGGATAAGGAATGTCATAGACTTGAGCGAACAAAAAGGTTTTTAACTTGTGTTTGAAATCTGAGACAGAGACCGACAGACGAATATCACAGGGGAGGGAGTTCCAGAGTGGGGGAGCTGAACAGGAACATGCGCGGTCACCATAGCTATGGAGTTTGGATGGGGGGGGGGGGGAGGAGAGAGCCAGAAGGGCAGGATCTAAGACTGCGGGGAGGCTGGTGGGGGGGGAAGCAGTTCAGAAAGATAAGATGGGGCTTGGTGGTTGAGAGCATTGAATGCCAGATTCTCGGGAACAGAGCAATAAAGGAGATCCAATCTGCACCCATCCACAAGCGCAAAAGTACAGGCTGCAAGCTGAGCTGGGTAGGCGTTTTGAGGGGCAGACCGGCGTGCCTTGTTTGCACTCGCCTGGATGTCTGTTGGGCTGCTCATTGTCTCAACCTGTGCGCATTGTTCTCGCCCCCCCCCCCCCTGCCTTCCCTCCCCCACAGGTGAGAACTACCCTGTGCAGTTCATCCCGTCGTCGATGGCAGCCGCTGCATCTGGACTGAACCCGCTCCAGCTGCAGGTACGAGCGAGAGTGTGGGCGGCTTGAGAGGCTCGGGACCGAGGACACCGCTAACCTCTAGCTGATAACTGAACACCAAACTAACTTCACCTTTAGAACCTTTTCTAATAGCCATAATGCCTGTAAAACATAGTATGCCTCTAGAATTCAACTAAATTGTCCTGCAACAGTAATTAAAAAATAATGACAACTGTAAAAACTAATGTAACTCTTAGGTACTTAGCAGCCCCTCTAAACACTGCTGTTTATTTAGTTATAGGGATTAAATCACCTGTCAGCTTCCTTATCTATTGTGTTTTGTTAGGTTTAATCTTAGGGAAATTATCTGGACACCTGAGATCATTTTGTTCACTCATTGGGATATTTGCATGGTGATAGGCAGGATATGAAGGGAGCATGAAGAGGTATGTAGGCAGATTTGAAACGTGTATGAGCGCTTACTCAGAGGCAAAACTTTGCCAGCCAGAAAGCAGTACTGGGTGCATCATGAACTTCAAGTGGAAATATCTAATAAAACTGATTATCTCCATTTCTCCCCCCACCCATCTTGTTATCGTCATAATTACGGCTGTTATTAAGCTCTCTGCAAGCATTTGCCTGGTCTTTGTTCAGAAATAGGCGATAAGTATTCCCCGGTTACTGTCATCAAGTTGTATTTACATAACAAATATGCAAAACGGGAACGGGAGGTTAAAGCCTCTGTGCAATTACACTAATGTTATTACTCCCGCCCGCCTGCCTGGGAAATTATCAATGCGGCCTGCGGGTCCTGCGAAGCCGGAAGATGGATGGTGTCTTTTGAAACTGCCCGATCATAAATATTTAAGCTTCTTGGAAACTACTTGAAGAAGAATTCCAAATGCGAGTCATCGGACCCTTGATTCTCCTTCCTTTTGAAACAAAAGAAGGTAGAAGAGGAGTGTGGGGGGAAATATCTGGGCGGGCCCTCTTTCGGTGGAGGGGCTTGTTTTGTCAACAGCAGCGACGAGTTGTCGATAGCGATTAGACATTAAACTCTCTGGTAGCTGCAATTGTTGCTAAACAAAGCTGAGTGTTAGCAGTGGAATGCTAGACGTCTGCGTTTTTCTCCTCACCAATACATTTGCACAATTTGTCCTGCAGAGCTTATCGCCATCGGCATTAATGAGTCTTGGCAAGTCCAAGCAGCGCCCATGGCGGATGCCAGGAGGGTCTCCATTACTGCGCGGCCATGCGGAGGCGTGGGAGGGACACGACGTGTCCCTGCGTGTCCGTGGAGGAATGAAAATCTTGCCGCTGGAGTCACGAATTAGGAAGGCTCCAGAAAAACTTGACGTAGGTTAAGGGGTTTGGTTTTTGTCCCTGTGGAGACTAGCTGGGAGGAGGGTGTTTAAAAGCCCCCTCAATATTTGCCCTGCAGCCCTCAGAAGCTGGATGAGTCCTTGTTTGATTAGGCTCCAGGTGCAGTGCAACCCCGTGCTGGGTTATGGTGATGGGTGATGGATACGTTCTCCTTGTTGGGGACGTCAATAATAAAATAATAATCTCTGCCATTGTTTCCTGATGTGTGTCAAAAAAGTCAGAAAGAAAGTTAAAAAAGAGCCTAAATGGAAGTGAAGAGCGGTGACTGATGACTACGTGTGAACTCTCTGATGTTTGCTGACATGTGTCACCCGTTTGGGGGCCCTGTTCCAGGGTTTATATCACATCTGCCTGTGCCTTCATTTCATCTCTTTCCAGAAAGAAAAGCATATCTTTTCCACTCTGAAGCCGCATATATATGTTTATATATATTTATGAATTCTATATATATGAATTCTTTTACATCATGCAGTTCCCTGCAAATGTTTCAAAGGAAATTTGGCCTCTCCTGTCATAATCCTGCAAGTTTCTACAGTTTGGTCCAACAGGCAACTGCATCAGTCAAATATACTGGCGTTTGATAGCAGCCCTTCATAGAATAATTTTAAGCTACACTTGTTTTGTGTTTGGGTGTCTCACTGTTGCTTCACATTGTCTAGATTGGGGTTTTGAAAACCATTTGTGCTCCCTGTTTGTGGAGTTAATATTCTCCCTGTGTCACATGGGTTACCTCCAACAGTCTGAAGGCATGGCCTCTCTACCTGTGTTGTATGATGTTGTGCCTAGGATAAGTGGTTAAGATGGATTGATTACCCACAATGCCTTGTTTGTTTCCATGATAATCTGGAATAGATGCACAATATTCTCACTTGTACCTTGGGAAAAAAAAAGCGACAAAAGATTTTGACCTGACTGTCTGAAGTGACGCTGGACAGGCAGCGTGTTGGAGCTGCGCGTAATTTGCCCGTCATTGTGGGTCCTTGGTGGCTCTTGCCGGCTGTTGCTGGCAGTTCCGCGCTGAGAGTAATTCCACTCAGCGTCTCCCTGACAAATTGTTCCCAGCCCACGAGTCATGAGAAAAAAAAAAAGACCAGAATGCCTCTCTTCATTAGCTCTCACGCCAGGCTGGGATAAGCCAACTCTGGCGGGAGACGATATCGTCATCTGAAACCACTCCATCTCTATCGGAGTGCGCAGCCATGGCCAAACTGTCGGGTAAATTGGCCTGGCTGCTGTACCCAGTGACACCAAACATTATGTCCCAGATTGGGAATGACACATTGTGAATCATTTAATCTAATAAGAGTAAGGCAACGGCGCAGTCCGTTTACGGTAATTAAATAAAAGTATTTTACGAGGCGGTGTATGTACTCCGATCATGTGACCCATCTTCTTTCGGCATCACTGTGGTCCTCATGTATGGCTGGCCCATTAAGCACACGAGCACTATACGAAACGTAAACAAAACTTAGAGAAATGTCTGCTTTTAATAATCAGACGGACGTTTTTTTTAAGTAAGAGTCATTGGATAAAGCAGAACATCTGTGCCCCCCGCCGCCCCAGCAGCAACATGCCAAGCAGAAGCACATTGAGAGCCGCCGGCTGCTTACTCTCGGCGAAATTGCTTGACCGAATTGCCAGGCCGCAATTAGTGCCCATCATTCTGTGAATGGCAACTCTCAGAGGTCGCGATTAAGCTCGTCCAGCTTCAGTGTGATAAACAGGTGACGTGGGCACTGGCAGACCCTCTGGAGGGACACTCTAAAAACTGCTTGTGTATGATTGAGGAGGAAGAGGAGGAGGGGGAGAGGCGCTTCAGTGAGAGGAAGTCCTCTGCCTCAGACAGGGACCCAGGGTAACCTTACGTTGTCATTGTCTGCCATTTCTGTTTTATTTTCTTTCTTTAAACCCCGGATACGTGGGCGTTTGGGGTTTCCACTTTTACTGGCAAATGCAGTACCATGACTTCTGAGCTATAAAGAGATGAAAAGCGGCAGAGCAGATGTTTGCATTGCTGGGCAGCGCAAGAGGAAGCGGCAGGTTTCGGCTCCTCTGCAGCCAGGCGGCGGTACGCGCCGCCCCCAGCACCGCCGGCAGATCATTTACAGCAAATAATGAAGCGGACAGATGGGTATTTAGGCAGGCAGCTGTACGGATGGTCTGTGCGCGGAGCGAGCTGAGGGACAGATGGACGGAGGCCCAGGTACACGGGAAGGGGAGGCCTCACGCCACACGCATGCTGTCTGGCACGGCAGTGAAGTATGGCTCGGCCACCGGGTCGAGCCAGGACGACTGGCCCGGGTGGAGTGCTCAGCCCAGATGTCTTTCAGGGGGTGCGGTACCTATCCCCCCTCTGATGACCCAGAATCCATCTGTCCTGAGCAGTGAGCGGCTGGCAGGAGAGCACGCGGTCCGGGGGAAAAGGGTTTTGGGGCGCGAGAGGACGCCAGCAGATGAAACAGAGAAGACTGAGCTGGGCAGTACCAGGATAATGAGCTTGATGTATAAGCATTGCCTCTCCTGGCATCTGGGCCTGCCTGTGGCAAGAGCAGGATGGCTCCACGGAAAAAACTAAACAAAAGGACAGTTAATGTCAGCACCTTCGAGGTAGCGGTGACCTTGGGGGGGGGGGTTGACTCTGACCTCCTCGCCCGGTTAGACCCTGTCTTGTTTGGGTCTAGTGCTTGCTGGACCCACCAGGCCAATCAATACGTTTGAGACTCTGGTTTCCATTGAGGAGGGGTGGGGTGCTGTTATGGCTGGAAGCAGAACGACTGTCCATATGCTCTACCAAATCTGCTGTTGTATTTTGCAACATCTGTCCCTTCGCCCTTCGATGAACAAATAAGATGCTGGAATCGCCCTTTTTTCCTGGAGAATTTGATGTTTGCTTTTCCTGCCAGCCTAACACAGAGAGCAGAGCCATCTCCACGGTGATGTGACGGAGGGTTAGCGGCTCCCGGAGATAGCCCGCTTTCAATGCACACGGAGTTCCCCCTGAGTTGCCAGCTAAACATCTGTGAGACCACATAACAGTTAGGCGCCCTTTGAACAAAACGCACTCCCCGATGAAAAAAAACTCCCCAAGATGCCATCTTCCCGAAGGCCTGTGCATTTATTTTACAGCGCTGACTGTATGGTGCTTACCCCAGCAACAATATGTTTGAAAAATTGCCCATGAAAATTTGCTCTTTTCAGCGCATCGTGTGCTGCCTGTCTCATTGAGCGAAGTGTCCCGGGAGCATGTTGTGACTGGAGGGCGTAATTCCGGAAGAACGTCATCAGAGACAGAATACTTAACTTTCAGGTTTTACCTTTGCTGCCTCCAGAGGGGTTGCTTTTAATTAGCAGAGGCTAACGGGCTGACCTGAGACCAAGCCCTGCTGTTATGAAGCCTGCGGTGATCACATACAGTAGCTAGGAGCAGGATGAAGGGGCTGGGCTCACCGCGATAGATGATGGTCGTGTGTGTGTGTGTGGATTATGTTTATATTACATTGTGGGGACCAGATGTCCCCCACAATGTAATAAAAAATACTATTTTGATGTTGTGGGGACCATTTTCCAGGTCTCCACAAAGATCTGTGAATGCAATCAAAAAACAAAAAAAATTTTGTTTGGTTATTCAGGGTTAAATTTAGGGCTGGGTAGAGGTTAGGGTTGTCATGTTGGGATTACAGTTTTCCCCATAGAAATGAATGGAGAGACATAAATACAAACTTGTGTGTATATGTGTGTTGAGGCTGGGGGTCTGCTGCAGATATGACAAGAGAACACTCCTGTTTTCTCGAGTTTTTCTGCCTAGCTGAGCATTGTCACAGCAAGTCATTTAGTGCTCAGGTAGACAGTGGTGTTACCACTGCAGCTGATATTTGTGCCTAAAACAGAAAGGAGGTAGAGAAGTGGCCCATTCTTCTGGTAAGGGTCTATAGGCGACCAGGCCTGCATGCATATGAGTAGTGAGGGAGGAGGCTGAGTTGCAGTGTAGCTACGTGTGCTTTGTGTGCTTTGTGTGGCTGCCTGTGTCTAGGTGTTTGTATGTGTGTGTGCGCCCCTGTAAAGCTAGCTTTAGCTGTGTCGGTATCACTGTGTCTTTGTACTGTGATAGCTTTTGGTTGGTGACCCTGTGATACGGCTGACAGAGCACAGTCCCCAGGGATCCCGGGGGGGGGGGGGGGGTAGGTCATTTCGCGATTTCATTTAGTCAAGTGCACCAGGTCAACAGGGAAGGTGATTTTTCGCTTGCTCAGATGATTTATTTCAGAAAAAATGGTTAGTTGAATCATAGCCTGTAGTTCAAAGGGTGCAATTCTGATGTGTATGTGGTTCTTCAGACTAGAAAACACACACATACAGTATACACTCACTGGGAAAGCCTCTCCTTTCAGGTTCCAGGTCTCATTTGAGTTCTGTTCTTCTTTGAACTCCTTTGAGCTTCGTGCAGCACCCCTGTAATGTGTCCTTGTTCAAATTGGTTGAATTCCAGCTTGTCAGACAAGGAAGAGAGGGAGAGGTCTTTTGGACAGGAGACACAGAGCTGAGCTTGTCCTTGTTCTCATTTAGCTGGCTCACCTTCAGCATTACCGTGATTACCTCTGTTTGCAGAGGTCTTAAACAATGGTGGAGCACAGAGTGGGGTTCCTTCGGAGGTGGGTTGATGGTCTGTAGGGGGCGGGGTACAGCTGCTGTGAAGCTGGCAGATATCATCCAGTAAGGATCTACAGGTAGACTTAAACTTATTCATTATGACCATGAGTGTATAGTTCCTCTGTGGTCACCTCACCCAGCTGAGCTCTGGTGGCACTACTGAATTGTAGCTGCAGGAGAACTATATGATGGGACAGTAAGGAATGTTGGATGCTGAGACACTAAGGAAAACTGCATGATGGACAGTAAGGAATACCGTATGATGGGAGAGTAAGTAACACTGCATGGTGGGACTCTAAGGTATGTTGCATGAGACATTAAGGAACATTGCATGGCAGGACAGAAAGGAGAACTATATGATGGGACAGTAAGGAATGTTGGATGCTGAGACACTAAGGAAAACTGCTTGATGGACAGTAAGGAATACCGTATGATGGCAGAGTAAGTAACACTGGATGGCAGGACACTAAGGAACACTATATGATGGGACAGTAAGGAACACAGTATAATAGGAGGGTAAGGAACACTGTGTGGCAGAACAGTAAGGAACTCTGTGTGGCAGAACGGTAAGGAACTGGCTAACTTCTTGTGCATAATAACACCGTCTTTCCTTTTTTGCGGCTGGCTGTAATGAACCACTGAGGCTAAGTGATTCTTCCTAAGCTGTGACCCATTAACTATTCATCACAAAAGACTGGCTCACAGTCTCTAATTTGGACCGAAGCTCATTTATTCAGTCTTTCCGGAACAATAAAGTTCTCCCCACACAAGGTCAGCCTTCTCACCCATCCACAGCGACTTCAACAAACATCTGTCCAACAGACTAGCCCTCACAAGTAGCTTGGAGGAATGTAAAGATGTTTTTGCATGCTCACATGTAACCCTCAAATACTTCCCTTTTCCACACTCACAAAAGATTTCTGCACTTTCTGGATTTTTACAAGTAATTCCCCCTTATTTTTGCCTGCTCGTCCCATAACAAATGGGCATCTGTATGATCTCAGAGGCCCTCAGTTATCGCTGTGGGAACCTAATCGGCCTGTTGTTTCCACTGCTGATGGGCCTTAGGTCGCTCCAGGTCTCTCACAAGAATGGTGCTTTTGTGCAGTGCTAATGGGAGGGAGATAAAGTTTCGCAGAGCAGAAATGCATGTTTACATCATGGGACTGCTGTTCACAAAACACCATCTCGGGGACAGCAAAGTGTGGTCTGCTGATTCTTCCCTCCCCACCCCTGCTGCGATAAGGATGACATTTTGTGTTGCATTAAAAACTTATCAAATTTAGTTATAAAATCCAAAAGCAGAAAGAACAAGTCAGGATAAATATAGATCTTACACAATTGCAGCATGCATTACCCTGACAGAAAAGATAATGAAAACCTCACTGAAAAAAACATTGTTTGGCGTTTAAAACTCTAATTTGTTTACAGGATTTGCCTGACCGTCCACATTAAGTGAGATTCTTACTAAAAATAACTGCTCTGTCCAGCTGACTAACCTACTACAATTAGTTAAGTAGAGAGAGCACTCACTAAGCAGACAACAGGCATATTCTGCAGACATCGCTTTTTATAAAAGCAGCATTCGGAGCCTACTCACAGAAAATGACACGAATGGCAGCTCGCAGATTCTAATGCCTGCTACTTCCCAAGTAGGAGGAATATCCTTCTTAACCACTTTTCAGCTTGCCAGTAAATAACCACCAAAAGCTTAAAGAGGTACAGTCAGTCTAGAGGACTCTTCTCTCTCCCAGAGGTGGCAGAAAAAAGCAAAACATCATCATGCTTTTTTATAATCCACCTTGAAAATACACCAGCCCAGGTAACATTGTGCTGGGCAATCAAAACAAGTGGTAATGATAAATAAGTTGGGGGTTGGGGGGAACAGTACTGTAATCTTTTTATCTCCTGTAATGTAAAGAATATTGACTGACTCTGTTGGTCAGGTGTGCTTATTCCATGCCATTTCCTGGATTCATAAATTAAAAGCTTGAGATGAGAAGCAGAGCATTCAGCTTCCACTCGTTCATGTTTCAAGTCTTTATGTGTTGCCTTCACTGCAGCTCCATTAATGCTGTCTGGACTCTTTTCACAGCAGTACTGTGTTGTAACTGTAAAGTAAAAATACTGAGGATACATTACATACACACTTTTAGCTTTTATGTAGATGTTAAATACTATGTCTTCAGTTGCCCGTATTGAAGATCTCCTATTTGTGCTTTTTAGTGACATAGCAAACTAGCAAGGTCTTGATGCTAACTCTCCATTGTTTTCCTTACTTACAGCAGTTGTACGCTGCCCAGCTGGCCAACATGCAGGTCTCCCCAGGAGCCAAGATGCCATCGCTCCCACAGCCTCCCAACTCATCAGGGCCTGTCTCGCCCACTGGCCTGAAAAGTGAGAAAAGGTCCTCTAGTCCTATAACACAAGTAAAGGTACGTTAATACCACCACAGCAGGGAAGCTCACTCCATTCCACATGCAGTTATGGTCTAACTATTCTACTTCTGCTTACATCTATCTCAGTCGTCTTCGGACAAGAGTATACTGGCAGTTTTACTATAATGTTACATTACAGGACTGCAATATTCAAAACACAAAAAATTGAGATTTTTTTCCCCTTTGTTGGCTGGATTGTTAAGCACCTGTACACACAAGTGATGATTCACAAAATTATTATTAAGGCAAAAGCCTTTAAAACCATTGAAGAACTTTACCATGGTATAGAACTATTCTACCTAACAATGCTGACTGTCTCTTTAGGTCTTGATACTGTGAGATGCATTTATAGATAGTCATGTGAATGGCGTTAAATAGAAAGGATAGTCAATAACCAGTAGGGGGGAGTTATTCTCACTGCTGGCTTGTTCCTGTGGCCCCTGTGATGGGGCCACATTGTCTATAAAGTACAGTAATTCCTTCATACTCTATGATACTGGCCACATTTTAAACATGCCCATCCCCAGCACTGAAATGTTGGGTGGGGCATAAAATTCACTAAGGGGCCTGGGGGTGAATCTGACACTTTTTAGTATTGTTTGTAATTCTGCTATGTACAGGGGACAATATATTTCATTTAACCACCTACTGAATATGACTAAAAATGATTTCAAGTGTAGTTCAAGTGTGGGCCAAACAATACTGCTTAATGATTGGTTGTTGGCACACTGTCTTGCGCTTGCACAGCTCATTTGCGTTTCCCACAATGCACAGCGGGCCGGATGGTTTTTATATGAGCTTTTGATAGCAAATCAAACATGAAAGTCATTTTGCATTCACACAAAAATGTTTCTTTTTAAAAATAGCGGGCAAAGGGGTATTAAAACTCCAATAATAAACTCCAATTTGCTGAAACATACTGAGGCATGCTGATATATAAATGATGAGGCGCATGCCTAACCCCATAACAAGCTTTATTTTGAAACCTGACTGGTGATTAATATTTGGTCTAAACACAATTATAAAATTATATATATATATATATATAGCTTTAAATTTTACATGTACACTATTGGGTATGCTGCCATTTCATTACCAACAATAATATTAAGTATGTGAGAGCTTACAGCGTTGATCAGCCATATCAATCTTAGTCTCTGACAGATTCAGTTAGACCAACAATTCGCGATATTCAAGGAACTACTTCTGTGAAAACAGATCTAAATAAAAAAGCGTAAGTTACGATTATGCTTATATTCCCTTATGTGTGTTTTTAATTTCCAGCCCCAAGCTCTATTTAAAAGATAATTACAGGTATTATTTACTATATGGTTAGGAATAATTTTAAGTTTAAAGTTACTGTAATGAAAGCCGATTAAGAATGAAAGAGTGGTTCAGAAGCTTATGAAAATAAACCTGTTTTTACACAAAATATAACATCAATACTCACTTGATGCTGGTAAAATGCAGCAAGAGACGTAATGTGTATATTAATTACTGCACGCGAATTTTTCCGAAACTTGACGATTGCCCGGTAAACCAGGTACAGTAATGTAACCGGCTTACATCCCGCGAGCGAGAATCACGCGCTTTCTGAAAAGAAAGACCGTGAAATACGTGAAGGTATCAGTAAACCACTTATGGTTAATATGTTTGTTGAGTACATTACGTTGTATAAATTTCTTCTTTATGGCTTTATTCAATTATGTACTCTTGTCGCCCCCTGATATACGATGAACAGGTATCTCTCTTTTTTTTTTCTTTATCCGCTGTGCTCATGGTCGCTCCAAACCAGGGGCACTCGATTGGAAGAAGTACTTGTTAAGCCGACTCCAGCATCCCTGTCAGCAGTGTAATTCATTGCAATTCATAAGTTGCCTCCTATTTAGTTCCTCTAGACAGAGAATTCCACCCTCTTCCCCATCCTCACAGTTCCCAGTGTGGTGCCCTGGGACACACATACTTCATATACCATCAGGATTAATAACGCCTTGCTGCACTGCACTTGCCCAATTCTGATGAGAAGCCACAAACCGGTCAAGTGGAAACACACCTCATGCACACACTGCTGAATGACCAAAAGAGCTCTCCTCATGCCAGACGTGTCATTACAGCTGAAACCACTTAATAACTTCTATGATGAAACAGAATTCTTGCAATTCCATGTTTTCTTTTCTTTTCTGCAGAATATCCACCATCCTGTAATATGCATCTATTTTAAACCTTTAAAATGCTGCAACACTAACTATATTTACCAAGTAGAAAGTAATTTAAGTGATAGGTTAATATGTTTAATTAGCGATGAACAAGTAATTAGATGGGTTTGTTTATATTGTATTACATTGACTTGTTAAAAACACATTGTCGCCTAATCGGTAAACAGATAAAGTGGCATCTGTTTTAAACAAAGAAGTGATTGCGTTTTTGGGCTGCGCACAGCATGCCGGTGTAGGTGAGCACGCAGCAGCGCTGTGAGAGTGTAATTCGCCTGCTGAGTGCTGTCTGCAGGGTACATTGTCTGGCCTGGAAGTTGTGGGACCACTGCAACGGGAGGCAGGCTGTCATGTTAATTGCCTTCATTCATGTCTGCCCTCCAATCCCTGCAGGACGAGGGAACGCAGCCCCTAAACCTCTCCTCCAGGCCCAAGACAGCCGACTCAGTCAAGTCACCGATGTCCCCAACGCACCACCTGTTTGCAGGCAGCAAAGGCAGCCCCACCAGCCTCTCGGCTAAGAGTGGCATCCCCAGCCCCATTGGGGGGACTCTGAGCCGGGGTTCCTCCCTGGGTAAGACCTGCCTCACACATAGAAACACACAGACTCATCGATGCACACTTCTTGGGGTATATTAATCAGATCCACTCTTAATGCCACACAAAATGTTTGCACCTATGCACACACACACACACACACACACCTGCACATGCACCGTGTACATGACTAAAGCGTGTTCTCAGTTACTGGGAGCTGTAGCCCTTTTCATGAACTAATTCGGGATACTCAGCATTCTCTGATCCCTCAACCACGACGGGCTGAAAACCTTTAAGCTCTACTGGGACTTAGCGGCGTTTCTTACAATGAGTCACTCTCTCACGCAGCGTCCTGATGACAGATTTGCGATGCGAAGCCTGCATGTCCCCTCCTATTATATCATTAAACCTTTTGTGTTGATTTCATCATCTGTGATTTATGTGCACGTTTTATTCATATAATGCCAGTTAAAGACACCCTGTTTTACCACCACGTTTAGGCATTTTATGCAGCCCCTGGGGTCTGTTTATGGGACAATTTCTTATCCTAGAAAAGAGTGAGTGAGTTAGTCTACATTTGTGCATTTCTTCATGCCTTTCAGAAAGAGGAACATGTTGGACTTCATTTTATCTCCCTGTTTTAATCTGTCACCTGACTGCACCTCTGTCTGATCTGATAATACGTGGCAGACATGTTTCTTCATGCTATCATTTTTTTTAAATAATAAAAAAAAAATCCACCATATAGCGAAGCCTAGAAAAAACATATTGCAAAAAAAACTCCCCCCAAGAAGGGTAAACGGATGGAACGGCTGAATCAAAATACATGAATACATGAGTCCGTCTCTTCACCCGCAGATATCCTGTCCAGCCTAAACTCCACGGCACTGTTCGCGGACCAGGATGCTGTGATGAAGGCCATCCAAGAGGCCCGCAAGATCCGGGAGCAGATCCAGAGAGAGCAATTTCAGCACCACCCCCAGGGCCTGGACGGCAAGCTTTCGGGCCTTGGCGTGGGGCTCAACAACGGCAGGGGGGACAAGGTGCGTTGCCTGTGCCATGCTCTCAGTTACTCCTTCGTTTACGGAAAACCTCTCCTGTGACACTTTTGCAGGGGCACAGAGGAAGCGCTGAGTTATTCATGCTGCATTTAAAAGAAGGTCTCTTCCTCCTTAGGGTGTTCAGCCTCTTGCATTTTATATGTATATATATATCGTTATGGCTCAACACATGGGGAAACGAAAACAGCCCCCCATGTTTTCTCACAGGGTACAGACTCTGCTGCACTATCACCTCACTCACACTGTAGTCACAGCCCTGCTTTCTCACAGAGATCGTGTTTGGTGATTGCGAGGGGCCCTTATTAAACACCCCCCCCCCCAGCTCCACTGAGGTTTCTTCCAGCACCCGGTATCGGAAGGGTGTTTTGAGTGCCCATGAAGTGACTCTGATTGATACCTGGGGGGCAGAAGAGGACACGGCCAGGAATCATGGCGCTGAGCGAATCGATTCGCGACATCCCTGCCTAATTAAAAAACTTTTTTTTCGGGGGGTCCCTGTGCGGGTCGTGTCCGCTTTGTACCCACAGCTCTTAAGCTCATGGGGGGCTCATTTAAAAATATCTTCAATCGATCAGTCAATCATGGAATAAATAAATATATTTCATCACCCTTCTGAGTGATGCCACTTGGCCAGTTGGCTGTGAGGAGCAGGCATGGGCCGGGAGAACAGGGCATTAATATTTCAGCACCTGATGCTTTTAACTAGCTTACTCAAGTGGGTCATATACTTTCTGTGTGTGTGTGTGTGTGTGTGTGTGGATTATGTTTATACTACATTGTGGGGACCAAATTTTCCCACAATGTAATAAAAACCTGTTATTTTGACTATTGTGGGTAGCATTTTTCTGGTCCCCACAAAGATGTGTGAATGCACAAAAGTATCATATTTTGTTTGGTTACATATGGTTATGGTTTGGGCTTGGTGGGGGTTAAGGTTGTCATGTTGGGATTAGATTTTCCCCCATAGAAATGAATCCCCACAGAGATATAATTACGAACCTGTATGTGTGTGTGTGTATGTGTATGTGTGTATCGATATGCAGAAGCACCTATTTTGGATTGGTTTTTAATTTGCTATTAGGGATTCAGTGTTCTTCCGAAATGCATCACTCTTTATCTTTCAGAACATAAATAGTCACATCAAGTACTAAAGCTTCCTCAGAGTTATTTGTGCAGGCAAAAAGCATTGGGCACTTCTGCAGATTTGGGAGTATTGTATTACTTCAACACTTAACAAACATAAGACAATTTTTGGAGTAATTTGATCAGTTAATGAAATGGTCCACCTGGATGGTTTTGGCAAGTGGGATCAAATCATTTGTGGGTGGCTGAATACTGTCCCACACTCTCAGCTGCCATTGCTGGGTTTGGAACCCAAAAGTTACTGTGCTGGGTGAGGCTATGGTCAGCTTGGCTTGACAGGACATGTCGGGGTATGTCAGGAAGCTCGAAACAAAGCCCCAAATGGAGCCGTTTTGGCGGCCTGTGCATGTTTCTGTTTTTTATTTGTATTGCCATGGAGCAGGTAACACTAGCCTTTCACTGTATGTCAAGCGATTCGTGTCGCAGGAATCTTTTGTTTCCTTTTTGTTTTGAAGCACGAAAATGATCTCAAATCACGATTACCATGACATGGTGATGAACAATGATGTAAGACCAAAACCTGCCTGCCACAGCTTTACTGAAAGACATTGCAGAGGAGACCAGTGGGCTTCACAATGGCTAAGGAAGGTAGCCAAATTTAACATAATGTCATGGTATATTTATTACTAAGATACTCATATCGAAGTCGAGTTGCTTAAATCACTTTAAAAAAAATTTTAATTGTATATTGATAACCTGATCAACCCAGCTTTAGATGAATATCTTCTTTTATGTACTAGAACTACATTCCCATAAGAGCTCTTCCTTTAGAAAGTTTCAGGAATCTTGTCACTTGCTGGATACTTTCCACAGACTGACACCATGTTGCGGTTTTGGAGCCTTTATCATTTACATTTTTTTTATTTAGCAAATGTTTTTGTCCAAAGTTTTTGGGGATAACTTGTGATATTACACTGCCAACCACAGCATTTTTATTTCAGCTGAGGCCTGCATAACAAAGCAGGATTACTTGCTTAGTCAGATAAGATGCTGGATTTAAGGTACCCCAGTTTAAATGCACTATATCTTTGTTCACTTAAATTTAGCACAAACTACCTTAAATCCAACCAGTTGTCTGACTAAGCAAGAAATTCAGCTTTGTTATACAGGCCCCCGTTTTATGACATCATTCATCTGTTGGCCCTTTATACATAGAAATTACACATATACGTATTATGCCTCCTGAGGATAGCACACCAGTATGAATCCTGGCCTCGTCTCTGTGTATGTGTCCTTCTCATCTTCTCTCTGAGTTGTGTGAGTTTCCTCTGGGTATTTTAGTTACTTCCCAGCAGCTGAAGAAGTGTAGTTAGGTGAACTTGTGTCTCCTACTTTCCTGGAGAGTGTTATAGATTGATTGTGCCCTATAGATGGACTGACATCCTATCCAGGGTAGGGATGGGAAGGGAAGCCCCAATATTAAACAGGGCCCAGGGGCTAAATTATTAAAGACCATAGTATCAATAAGCTTGCATGCGGTATGAAGAAATGAAGAAAATAGATTCCCGATTTGTTATCGCTGCATAACAGTTTTCTTGCACACTTCATCTCACCAGCTTCGTTTCTGTTTGCATTTTCGCTATATTCTTAATCCAGAAGAGAGAGATCTCTCTCAGAGCTTGTGTGAGAGGGGCGGGGCACGGGGCAGATCACTCGCTCTCGCTCCCTCTCTCGTGCGCAGCAGCGTGTGGCACACACACAGATACCCTGCTTTTAGTGACAATGGAGGAGAGAACTAGACGTTCAAACTAGACGTCACGGTGGTGACATTTCACTGTTTCACTAGAGTCAACGCTGACAATGCTCATTACCGCAAGTGCAGCAAGTCTTTTGCATGTGATGGCGGAAACAAGCAACCTTTCGAAACATCTAGTGAAAGTCTATCACATGCACTGCAGAGCAATGCACGGTTTTTGCCTGCCTACCTCATAGTGTATCTGTTGTTGCCCCAGGTATGGTATGTATAGTTAGCAGCCGGGAGCCTACACATGGAGTTAACTAAATTATACGAATATGGATTAATGATTAAAAGTAACCATTAGCCAGTTGATTGTTATAATGGTGTGTTCATAAATTCAGTCTGAAATCATACTGTATATCATTCTGAAATTCACAGTTTCAGTTTCAGATCACGGATTTAGTGATTTGGACAAACTAAGGTTACCACACCATAAAATTACCATCAAAGAAAAAGTCCTGCATTCAGTTTTTCCCTTAAAAGGTGAACATTGCTTATTACATTTGTTTTTCATTTACATTATCACAAATGTAGTCTATAATTATTCTAAACATTGCTGATTCTTTTGCTGTAAAAATGTATTTTGCTTTTCTATAATCACAATATAATTTATGATAGTGACTTGTTCAAAACGATGTTGCAGTTTGCAACTCAAGAATGTTAATTTATGAACAGTATGTGGTGAGAAAATAGTGCAATATTAATTCTGTTCTTAATTTGTTTCTTTTTCTCTTAAATAAAAAGATAAAAGTACTGTCAAAGTACCAGATTGATAACTAGTATCAGTACCATGCAAATCTGAATACTCATAGTCCAGGATGCGCCCTGACTTGGGGTGAGTTTCAGGATTCCTCTGGCCCTGATTATGTAAATGATTGGACGATAGATAGATAGATGGATGGATGGATGGATGGATGGATGGATATAATTTCCCATAGATTATTTAAGCAGCAGTGTGAATCAACACTTAGGTTTACTATGTATTGTTCCTGTCTCTTTAGGGGCCTTGATTTTCCGGCTTGGGGATTCAGCAGTATAATCACTGTTATAAATTTCAGATGAATATAAGATCCATTGCAGCTGGTCTGGCGATCACTCTTGGCTTGTACAGAACATTCTGGTGGAGGCTTTGCTTGGATTGACTATTACTCCCATGGTGTCTGTCCAGTCAGAATCAAAGGGTAAAGGCCTTTAAATATTAACCTATCGATCTGTCCCCTTTTAACCCTTTGTTGACCTTATTAACGGCCCATCCATGCGATCAGCCGCTTGGACCGGGCAGGCGTTCTAGGGAAGCCATAGAAAGGAAAAAAGTAAATAAGGGAAACCAGGTTTCCATGGCTGTGGACGTGGTGGTGACTCACCTCCCCCTGCGGTGCATGAGCAGGGGCCTCTGTACGCGCCAGACCCTCATGAAAACCTGGGTATAATCTAGTCTGGTCTTTAGCCCTGAAAGCAATTATCTGCTCTTTCAGTACCGCTGTGCTTGAAATGGCCAAGCTACGCTCTTTAGCCACAGCGTAAATCCTGGCATGCGTCGTGCTCTGCCTCTCCAAATATGATTATAGTGTGCTGTCAGACAGCACACCACAGCCAGCCAGTGGCATTGTTCAGCTCGCTTACATTCATCCCTCTCCAACTGTCTGCGTTTGCCAAAGGCGTAAAAATAGCCGCTGCAGCCATGCGGGGGGTCCCTGCGTGCGTGCACACACACACACACACACACACACACACGCGCACACACACACACACACACATATATATAAATTTATATATATAGAAATTTATTTATTTGTGTGCCTGCAATTGCGTACCTGTGTTTCTAACTGTCTGCATGTGTGCATATAAAAGAGAGTGTCTGCGGGTGTGTGTGGGTGAGAGAGAGAGAGAGAGAGAGAGAGAGAGAGAGAGAGATGGGACCGCAACATTTAATTTCCATGATAGAATCCCCAGAAGTGGCCGGGAAAGTTTTCCTGCTTCCGTCAAGCATCCCAGGACCCACAAGGCCAGGCGCCTTGTCCCCCCGTCCCCCCCCCCCCCACCCCATCCTCCCCCACATTATCAGCACAGAGGAGACGGCAGTCATGTTTAACTGTTCCTGGCGGGGCGCAGTGAACAGCTCGGGGTCATTTACAACTTGCCCCCATAAAGAGCCCAGTCACAGAAGGAGCACACCCCCACAGTCAAGCTCAAACTGCAGAGGTAACCACAAAAATGCCTTTTTTAGAACAGATCAGATAAGACTTGTTTTGTTTTGAGATGTTCATTTGGTTTAGATTTTTTCCAAATGAATAATACATCTGTAACTTAATATTTGGCCTGTTTTAGTTGGTTAATACAATATACACTGTGTATTATATGCTATTATATGGTGTATAATACTGTGAGCAGCCTGGCTACCAGACTGGCAGTGTGCCCAGAAATGACACACCTAGTGTGTTTGCACGCTCTAAGAGCGTAATTGAAGTAAGCTGTCGGGAGCGCATGGCCTTTCACTCAAGCGGAGTCGCACCGGCCCAGATATAGTGGACATGGGGGTGAACTGTGTGGCTGGTGCGTTCACGGCCACACAATGGGGGGTGGGGGGTGCTACAGGGCATGTTAAAAGGGAGCCGACCAATGGGATGTGCTTATGGCCAAACCCTCAGAACTGCAGCGGCTGGGCATATGGTGATATATAAATAACAGTGGGGGGGGGGGGGGAGCAGAGTGCGCTTTCTGCCTTGTCTATATTTGGCAGGGAGTGACCTCCCAGAAGCCTGCCACAGGCCCTCGGGGCTCCCGTGCCCCGCCCCCTGGGCCACATGTGATCCCCCCTCCAGTGCTGTGGTCCTTCTGTGGTAGCACAGCTGTAGCTCCCCGGGCCCTCAGTCCCAGGTCTCCATGGCGACTGCACTGGGACAAATCCATGACACCCTTCACATATCACTTGACTCACTCCCGATTCAGTTAAGGACACCGACTTAAATAGAAATGCACTGCATTGTATTAGTTCTCAGTGGGTAATATTAATACACTGGGTCACTTTGTATGTAAATGTCATTGATTTGAATCTCGCATGGGGGGGGCATGGCAATGAGGAGTAGGGAGTGGTAACCCCCCCCCCACCACCACATTTGGAGCATGTCACTGTAATTGTAGACATAGGCCTCAGGCGTGCCTGCTGGATTTCTTTGAGGGAAATGGCCAGTGAGCAATACCGCATCTTACATATTTTCTTTTTAACCAGCCACCCTACTCCCCCCCCCCCCAGAGGATTTTCCCATGCCCCTCCCGGGCTGCAGTGCGCTGAGGAGCCCCTAACACCATGATGCATGTTATAAATGTGGTTTTTTTAGGACCTGTGGCTTGCCGGAAAACCAGGTGCTGTGAGTTTTCCACTCTGGGACCGGGTCGTCGCTCGATGTTTGATGGGGCCATGGAGTAAAAGTGCCCTTCATTCATCACAGGTCTAGAGGCAGGACCTGCGAAGTAATATTTTCAAGCCAAAAAAGTGAATCAGCCGCCATTTTATTAGGTTCACCTAGATAGCAAGCTGAACTGGGTCAGACCCATTGTTGCCTCCAGACCACTTGCTAGACTAGTTGTGTTTTCTCAGAAGCCTTTCTGTACACCACTGCTGCATTGCTATTTTTGTGGTCTTCCTGGTAGCTTTAATGAGTCTGCCTATTCTCCTCTGACCTCTCTCATTAACAAGATGATGTTGGTCACAGAACTGCCACTGACTGGATGCATTTTGTTCGTCACACCATGCTCTGCAAACTGTAGACACTGCAGTGTGTGAAAATCACAGGAAGGTGGCTGTTTCTGATTTGTGGGAACCACCATGTCTCTCACCTACAATCACAGTGCATTCGAGAGTGCTTACATCGCGCATTCTAATACTTAGCTACACAGTAACTGAACCCCATTTAGATACAGTATATAGTATGATTCCAACATTTAGATACAGTGTACAGTATTATTCCACCATTTAGATACAGTGTATAGTATGATTCCAACATTTAGATACAGTATATAGTATGATTCCACCATTTAAATACAGTGTATAGTATGATTCCAACATTTAGATACAGTGTACAGTATGATTCCACCATTTAGATACAGTGTATAGTATGATTCCAACATTTAGATACAGTGTACAGTATGATTCCACCATTTACTGTAGATACAGTGTATAGTATGATTCCACCATTTAAATACAGTGTATAGTATGATTCCACCATTTAAATACAGTGTATAGTATAATTCCACATGATTTACTGTTAGCATTAACAAGTAGATGCAGCTAATAAACTGGCGATATATAATGTGACCAAAATAAGTTCCAATCACACATGATCTACATAAAGCTACAGTTTAAAATACATCAATGGTCAAGTAAATCAGCATTGGATCCTATGGTTTGTCGCACGGAGAGCTAATATTTTATCATGTTTAGGCAAAACAGGAGACTGGAAAGACTGAAATTAATTATGTTTCTTTTGATCTCAGCTGACTGAAGGGATGATTCCAATGTGTGTGGGGAAAGAGGAGAAGTGGGTTATGATGAAGCCAATTACCTTTCTCTCCTCCCAGTCTAACATGGTGGGTAATTATTGCAAGTTTGTAAATGGGGCTGATTGATCAGGGCAGACTGGACACCTCAGGGGGAAAGGAGCATGGCTAATTTGTGAGCGATATCCCTGGTGGGGGGCTTCCCCTGCGCACTGGGTGGATACGCTTGCCCATCCGACTCCACGCTCCCCCACCCTGTTTGTCACCAGGCGCTTCCTTCATTAACCACGCTCTGTCACAGAAGACGGACGCAGCGGCTCAAAATGCTGCATATGGAGCGCTGTGCTCCGTGGGGGGGGGGCACCCCATCACCTCACCACACTTAAAACAGAAGCAGGATCAGAAAAGCTGCCTTTAATGCCCTTGGACAGGTGGTGGGCATCCAGATCACCTGAATAAATTTCTTTTTTCTTATTCTTTCAAAGAAAGAAGTGCTATCTGAATTAAGTACATGGAAGAAATCATATCTCAGTGGGATATTTGAATAGTCATTGTCTTGATTTTTTTGTTTTTTTGGAAGTCCTTTGTGTTTTTTTTTATTATTAAAACTGGAAATAAAGAGATACCAAGGTGCTTTTTGGGGGCATATTTCTATAGAAATCCTTTTATGAAGAAAGTTTCCTTTTGTTATTTTTCAATCCGGGCATTTTTGCAGTCATTCTTCCCATCAGGTTTAAAGTCAGTGTTAAGCAAAAAATGTTGAAAGCTTTCACTTTAAAAATAATTTGGCATCTTCATTAATGGAGCAGTGAAGAATAATAACCTTCAGCATGTAAGATCCAAAAGCAAACCTTCACAGTGGGAAGAACAACCTGTAGACCAGGCAATGGCATCTTCCAGAAGGGTCCAGTGGATTCAGTGACCACGTCGGTGTGGACCGGAGGGTATGTGCTGGCCTGGGGAGGGGGTGCTAATAGTGTTTTGAAGAGGGCCCACCTGAGGGTTTTATTCACACTGTGAGATGGACCCACTTAAAGGTAGAAGTTGGGGGGGGGGGAAAGAAAAGGCCAGTGAACCTTTTGTCAGAGATTGGATCCTCACCCCAGGACCCAAGCAAACACTCCCGCCCAGATCGCGGCAAATCATGTCTGCTGTCAGAGTCTCTCAGCTGACATCCGAAGGGGGGAGATTGTTTGCATTGTAGGAGTTGGAGCCCCCCCCCCCCCCCCCCAGGCCATTAGGGAACAGATCAGCCCCTGTAGTCAGGGTGCGTTTGCAACCGACCTGGGTCATTTAACATCGGAGCGAACCGCAGTCAACACTCGTCTGCTACATAATGCATTAAATGTAATGTGCTGCACATACCCCCCCCCCCCCAACAAGCTGTCCTTTACATGTAGATGTTGCTCACGTGCGACATTCAGTGTTGGTGTTGAACCCCAGAAGATGGGGTTTCATTGTAGTTTCTATGCACCGTTTGAGCTGAGTACAAAGAATGGCATCAGATGGGGTGGGGGGTCCACTGAGGGCTGCACACCCTGACTTAATGATGGCTTGGGGTGCAGCGGCCCCAAGCATGGGCAGGAGGTCAACTCTGGGCCGGTAGTTCCTGCCCTCTGAAGTGGTGAGGCTGACGGGGCCTTACAGCCAGGAGAGCATCTTTACAGAGCGATGGGGGGTGGGTTTCTGCACGCTGGAGTGACTGGTTTCCATCCCGTGTCCCTCAGGAGAGAGCGCACTACGAGAACCTCGGGCACCACCTGGGCAAGCTGAGTGATGAGGCGAAGATGGGCCACCGGGTCATTGACTTAACCCGGCCGGAAGATCTGGACGGTAAGGTCTCACGTGTGAAAATGCATATTGCCTTTGACTCTGTTTTGTGGAAAAGGCGTACTGTTTTTCCAGTGTAGGCTGTTCTGGAGTGATGTGAGTGAATATCACGCCGGGGCTGTAGCCTTCTAGGCTGAGGCTTCAGAGATGATGTAATTCCTGTAGTTACTGAGGCATTTGTATTTTCTGTAGTTCTGTCTGTAGCTTCAGATCCACATTAGACTAAAAACCATTTGAAGGCTTCTGATGCCACTGATCTTGGGCTGCTGGAGCAGTGACACAAGACAAAGTTAGCTCCGTTACAGGGATAGATCCAACAACGTGCTGCTCCTCGGGGTTCGGGATCAGGGCAGGGCCGTCCCAGTCGCTATCACACAGCAGCATCCCATCTCTTTGGGCCTGGCACATAGATAAAGGAAATAGGTGTTTCTGGAAGTCAGTTATTTACCTGAGTAAATGTTTGTTTCTGACCCCATAAAACAACAGAGCTAAAGAGAAACAAGATTCTCTTGTAAACCTTTATGCTTTTTTAAAACTTAAAATAAAATTAATTAAATCAATAAAAAAGAAAAAAGAAACACACTGAAAGCATTCTTCCTTAAAATAAAGTCGGCTACCTACATGTGTGCAGGTTATTGGAACATACAATCAAAAGAAAGTACATCCTCTTTCAATTGTAAAGTTTTACACATCAGGACATAAATAATCTGGGGCCAGTTGTATAAAACAATGTTAAAATTTTCCTTTCTGGTCTGAGTCTGAGTTAAAGTTTCCTTAAAATAAAGTCGGTTACACAAAACACCCTTAAGTCTTCTCCTTAAGATTTCCTTAAAATGTTCACTTAAGTATTTAAGTTTTTCCCCTTACCTTTGTCTTATACTTAAAGAACCAGTTAAAGTTCCCTTAACGATGCCGGTGCTTGTCAGCTATTCAGCAAAGTTTATCACTCTATGTTCCACTCTTGTTCTTAGTCGAGCGAAAAGTACCTACTCGTAGTGAACTCAATACAGCAGGGAGAATAGTCCACATTTTCAATAGATAAGGATGCAGTGGGGACAAAATCCAGCTTTTAAAATTTTGTTTATATTCGTCAGACGAATAATATGTTTCATTTTGTCATTGTCATTAGACGCATATTTAAATAATATTTTTCTTTTAATTATCATCACGCAAAAAAACCTTCGTTGACGAGAATATAGCCTGACGTTCCTGTCGATGAAATTAACACTGGAGGTGATAACAGATATCACAAGCAGACGTGAGGGAGAGCAAACAAATGGTCTCCATGGAAACTATACAATTTTACTGCTGTAAAATATCTTTCAAAGCAGTAAATCCCTTAAGAACTAAGGAAACTTTTTAAGGGAATATGTGCAACACCCTTAAATAAATCCCACTACTAAGGAGAAATTAAACCTTTTGTGTCATACTTAAGGGGGAAACTTAAGGTGTTTTCTGCAACTAGCCCCTGGTCTTTAGCAGATCTTAAAATTAGATAAACCTCAGATGAAAAACAATACATTAAGCCAAAATGCAGAAACAGTATGTGGAAAAATTAAGGACACCCTTACTGCTTCCATAGGAACTGAGAGACAGGTGCTGCTAATCAAATGCACTTGATTAACTGATCATCAGCAAGTGTGACCACCTCTATAAAAGCAGGTGTTTTGGCAGTTTGCTGGTCTGGAGCAGTCAGTTGTGTGACATCAGCAGTCATCTTAGAGAAGCAATTGTTGCTGCCCATCAGTCTATGAAGGGTTATAATGCCATTTCCAAACAATTTGAAGTCCATCATTCTACAGCGGCAAAGATTATTCACAAGTGGAAAACATTCAAGACAGTTGCCAAGCTTCTCAGGAGTGGACGTCCCAGCAAATTCACCCCAAGGTCAGACTGTGCAGTGCTCAGAGAAATTGCCCAAGAGCTACATCTCATACTCTACAGTCCTCAGTTAGCATGTTAAAGTTCATTACAGTACCATTAGAAAAAGACTGAACAAATATGGCTTGTTTGGAAGTGTTGCCAGGAGAAAGCCTCTTCTCCTAAAAAGGACATGGCAGCACAGCTTAGGTTTGCAAAGTTGCATCTGAACAAACCACAAGACTGCTGGAACAATGTCCTTTGAACTAATGTACAGTGCCATGTTTGGTGAAAACCAAACACAACATATTAACACAAATACCAGCTGTCTAGGAGAGTGGTGGAGGGGTGATGATTTGGGATTGTTTTGCAGCCACAGACAGTAAGCATCTTACACTCATTGAATTGACCATGAACTCCTCCGGATAACAAAATATTGTAGAGTCAAATGTGAGGCCATCTTTTCCACAGCTAAAGCTTGGCCAAAATTAGGTGACGCCAACAGGACAATGATCCCAAGCACACCAGTGGCCCAGTCAAAGTCCAGACCTCAATCCGATTGAAATACTCTGGTGCAACCATAAGTGAGCTGAGCATAAATGACTGCAAACCAACCTCTGTGAACCAAAGCAACGCCGCAAGGAAGAGTGGCCACAACCATGTGAGAAACTGATAAAGTCATACAAAAACCATTACTTCAAGTTATTGCTGCTGAAGGTGGTTCTTAAAGCTATTGAATCAGTACTTAGTTTTTCACACATGGCATCTCCATTTTGGCTTCATTTTTGTTAAATAATGACACAGTGGATTCTGTTGTGTGTACACCTGAGGTTGGATTTAAACAATTTTAGAACCTGGTAATTTTTCTTTTATGTCCTGATATGTAAAACCATAGAACTGAAAGAGGGTGTACTTTCTTTTTCACATGACTGTAGATCTGTATATCATGGCGGGTTTGGAACTGGAATCTTGTCCACTAAAGCTGCTTTGTCCTACTAAAGGCTCTGCGTTCCTGTTAAACACTCTTCCTTCTAAAGGTTCTACCTTCCCACTAAAGTCTGCCTTACAGCTTAGGTCTCGCTAGATGTTCTCGCGTCCAACCAAAGGCTCTGGATATGCATGGGCCTGCTGCTTTTCCTCCAGTCCATCTGGACAGATGTGCTCCAGGTCACCTTTTCTGTGGGATGATTTCCAGCGGATGGTGTGAAAACGTGCCCAGGAACAGAGACAGCAACCCATCCCATTTTTTAAACAATGAAGACAACATTGAGCCAGACAGACCTCAGACAGGTCTCACAGCATGCTGTGGCTTAGCACTGGGCCTATGGGTAGGGGCGTAGGGGGTTGATGGAATAGAGTATGGCTGGGCGCCAAGGCGACAGGAACAGCTGATTAACACAGTCCCCATTTCATCACCCATACGTATGCCAGTTTCAACGATGGCATCAGTAAAATTAATTACGAGGGCTATAATCCCTGGGAATTCCACCAAAGGAAAAGTGATTCTGTAGCCAGATTGTTTCAGCTTCCAGAATAATACAGCACTGGAACACTATTTGAAGCATTATATAAGGATCAATTAAAATACAGTCCATTAAAATAAAAAGTATACATCATATCATGAAGCATACTACAAGTATAAATTCAAATAACTTCTCAGTAGTAATCACCAATAATTGTATTAAACATAAACTCAAAAATCAACCAAATGAAAAACTGTCAACATATCTATGTGTGTACATGTGATTTTGTCCAGGCTTAAATGCTTAAAACATTACTTTAATCACAAGGTGAGCAGTAAGCGAGATTGACGACTTTAAATGGATATTTGTGTAAAACGCCTACGTCACTGTAGGGCTCAGACTTTTAACTGTGTTTTGTCGGCAGGGCAATGAATGAAGACTTTTCAGTGCAGATTCAGGGAGAGTTAAACAGGAATCAGGCATCGCGGAGACCGATAGCAAAACGTCACCCTGCCATCAGAGCCGTTTCAGTTTCTTAGACTAATATTTGCAAGGGTTGCAAGCAACCGAATTAACAAGCTGCCAATGCTGTGACGGAGGGGGTGGGGGGTGGGGGGGCACTGGAAAATACAATCTGGGTATGGAAGCGGATAGAATTTCCTTCATTTCGTGAAGCCGCGAGCCACATGCATCACCCCACTGTAGAGTCATTAGGTCTTTAGACTCAGATGAAAAACATTAGCGGATACCACAAAAAGATTTAGCATGGGTGCTTTGTTCATTCACATATGGCCGCCTCTAACTTGCCTGTCGCTTGGGTCACGCGCTCATTTAAAGTGCCGGCGTCCAACAGGGGTCTGCACAAAGGGTGCCTCAGGCAGCTCCGAGGACCCAAGCGAGGCCCGCAGCAGTATCAGAGGAGTTTAAAGAGCCAATACAGATCAGGCTGCATCATTCAAATGGACTCTATGTACGGGAATAGATTGGCTCATCACTCTCGTTCATTCCTTCTGGCTGTTGCTAAATTAAGAGAATGTGTGAATGACATATTTTTTATTATCATTATTTCTTTGTCCGTGTGAATGAATTGTTGTCTTTTCATATGCTGGATGGGTACTTTTACTGTGAAAATATTCCATAAGACATTCAACATCCAATTGCGTATCCTGGTCAGAGTCGCGGGGGCCTGGAGCCCATCTCTGCAGCACAGACAACAAGGTTCTGTTACACCCTGGATGGGATGCCAGTCTATCGCAGACAACAAGGCTCTGTTACACCCTGGATGGGATGCCAGTCTTTCGCAGACCACAAGGCTCTGTTACACCCTGGATGGGATGCCAGTCTTTCGCAGGCCACAAGGCTCTGTTACACCCTGGATGGGATGCCAGTCTTTCGCAGGCCACAAGGCTCTGTTACACCCTGGATGGGATGCCAGTCTATCGCAGGCCACAAGGCTCTGTTACACCCTGGATGGGATGCCAGTCTATCGCAGGCCACAAGGCTCTGTTACACCCTGGTTGGGATGCCAGTCAATCGCAGGCAACAAGGCTCTGTTACACCCTGGATGGGATGCCAGTTTATCACAGGCCACAAGGCTGTGGTATACTCTGGAAGGGATGCCAGTTGTTTGATAGTTTAAAAGGATACAATTTTTCGAACAAAACTAACATTGAACTGCAATATGTTGTTTATGGTTTAAGATAGACAGACACATTTTGCAGGAGAAAAGGGGTTTGTAATGTAATGTAAGCAGCTATTAAATATGACCTTTCTAATTAATGTTATGGCTGAAGTTTAGCTATAAGACTGACAAAAGAGGAATGAAACCAGAAACTTGACATGAAACAAAGAACGAGACTCTATCATAGCGTATTCAATTTTTATACACCAAGGAATTCGAGATACGTGGGGAATCGGAAAGAACTGGAGGGTTCGGGGTCCCAAGTATTAGCCTGCGTGAGGACGTGCCATGGTGTCTCTCTCGACCTCCCCCAGACCCCTTTTGAAACACAGAGTTGGGGAAATTAGAGATTAACCTGTCACACTGTCAAACTGTTCTCCTGGCCTCATAAGTCAGAATATATCATATTAAATATAAGAGCCTCCACCCCAAATTCACCCCAAACATAACCCAGGAGCATTTTTGTCTGAGTCTGGTCAATATCTGATCTGTATTTTTTTATGTAATCGACAATAAAACGTCTAGGGGCTTGTGATCAGAATGCCCAGAAAAGCAGAGCTAAGACAGACATTTATGCTAGCAAATCAGGACAGTGTTGTACTTGCCATCTGAACTCACAGCCCTTTGGATGGTTTCAAATGAGGCGGGCCCTTGCGGCACAGAGGGGCCTTCCCATTGGCCAGGATGCTAAGTGGTTGACCACCCACACTTGGGAGTGGCCAATGGCCACATGTACTTGGCTCGTGCTCGTTTCCCCATGGCGACGGCAGTCGTCCCCTGCTTTGTGGCTCATCCGAGTGTTTGACTGAACGCAGAGCCTGGATCCATTTAGTTGCCACAACAGAGAGGATGCATGAGTATGTAGACAGGGCACAATTATAAAAGCATTGATATATATTTCTGTTCTCCCCCCCCCTCCCAACTTTTGTCTCTGTAGAGGAGTAGAATATAAAATACATGTCCTAACATGAGCATGAAGCAGATAGCTGGTAGAGTCCTGGAAGCTCCTGGTAGACATTAACTACCCTGTTACACTGAGGTGGAGGAACCTCCAGCTGGAAGATGCCAGTACATAAACAGGCCAGTCAGTGATGCTGCTCGGTTGGGCCATAAATCAGAGCCATACTCAGGAGCAGGCAGGGGCTGTTTATCGTGCGATGAAATGGATCGGCCCGTACTGCCGTTCTGTCATGCGATAAACATGGCTGCCACTTCCATACAGTCTCTGCAGGCTAAATGAAATGAAAGGGTATTGGGGTGCGTGGGTGGGTATTATCCCCGGAAATCGGTGGGTCTCTTCTGTTTGCAGGGACCTGACTGCTGTGGATCAATGACATCCTGCTGCCATATTTGGTTTGCATTGATGGATAGAATATGTCTAGTGATGATGTATTCTGTGGCCTGGCAGATACCCAGTGGGTTAATGTAGGATAATCTCACTACCAGCTTAGTAAGTATGGGGCAGGTGTACAGGCTGCGCTGGGCCATCCGTGGTCCCGTCCATCCGCCAGCAGGTGCAAAAGGAAGGGCATTTGCTTCGCCCGGATGCCTGTGAAGGCCCTGAAGCCCAGCCAGATGTGCTATTATGCCACGGCTAAACAGAGTGTGCCGCTCTCCTCCTTTACGGGTCATAAACATAGGCAGGGAGGTGGAACAGGAAGTGAATGAAAGCTGGTTTATTGCTTCACCTGCTGCAAGCCACCCAGGGCCCATTCAGGGACCCAAAGAAGTGAGAGAGTCATACTTCCCAAGTACATCCTGGTTAAATCTGACAGTTCTGTTTTTATCATCTTCATCCATCCATCCATCCATCCATCCATTACAAGGTTGCAGTGGATTCATCCATCATAAATAATGCTAATTTCATATCAAATCATATCAAACCCACTGTGCATAGTGACGTCGGAATGACATCTTTAATATGTCGTTTTTGGACGTCCAATTTTG